ACAATGAATGGTATATTCTATTCTACCATATCCTCAAAGTTCTTTTTTTTAGTTTAAATTTAAATGTTATTTACGTGTGTGTGTGTGTGTGTGTGTGTGTGTGTGTGTGTGTTGACGCATGCCATAATGTGCATGTAGGGATTAAATGACAACTTTCAGGAGTCGTTTTTTATTTGATTGTTTTTTTTTGTTTTTTTTTTTTTTGTTTTTTTACCTTGCTGAGGCAGAATTTCTTGTGGTTTTGCTGTGCTGCATACCCTTTGCTAGCTGGCTGGAAGCTTCCAGAAAAGCTCCTCCTGACTCATCTTGCTATAGGAATGCTGGAAATACAAATGTACACTATGGCATCCAGGTTTTTTTCTGTGTGTTTGTTTTTGTTTTTTTAAACGTGTTCTGGACTTGAACTTGGGCCATTACGATGGCACTGCAAGTGCATTTACCTGATAAGCCATTTTACTGGCTCACTATCTCCAGGTTTCTTTTTAGCCACTGCTGTCGAGCAGCATTTCTGCTTTCTCCATATACGCTTAAGTCCTCTGTCCAGAGCTGAATTGCTTTGACCAATTGACATACCCAGGTGGCATTCCTCCCTGAGCTGCTGTGTTGACTAGCTTGGTCTTGGTGAGTGGAAACAGTGGGTTGAGCCAGAGCACAGAGCAAAACATCAGCACAAAGCAGGCAGCATGCTAGAGCACCATCAGACACAGTCTATTCCCTGCTAGTTACTCAGCCGAACTATAGCTCCCAGGAGTTAGAGTCAGGTCAGTTGACTAACTTGTACTCAATAATGTGTGGTCGAAAGTGATGATGTAGAGTTGCTTCTAGGTGTGACTAGGAGTAATGCCTTATCTCTTGTGGCCTTGGACTTCATGCTGAAGGGACGGCACCCCATGATGGCAGCTTAGAGGAACTATGTTTAACTTAGAGGCTATGATACAAATGGTAGCCAGTTGTAGACGTTTCATCGCCTTTCCATGGTAGTCTGACCATGTCTACCTATTCCTATCACTGTCTACCTTCACATAGAGTGATGCAGCTCCATCACATGCAGTCCTTGCTAATTTAGGCAAGATAAATGAATGACTATTTCCTGTTCCCTTTTTCATATTCAGTATAAACTGGATATAATTTCTGCCCAGAAAGGCAGTTCCCACAATACTTTTTTTTAAAAAAAAAAAAGATTTAATTTATGTGTGTTTTGCCTGCACGTATGTCTGTGCACCATGTGTATGTCTTAAGACTATGAAGGGAAAAAGAAGGTATTGGGTCCCCTGAAATTGTAGTTATGAGTGATGATAAGCCAACATATAGGTGCTGGGAACTGAACCTGGGTCCTCTGAATGAGTATGTGGTCTTAACTGCTAAGTCACCTTTCCATCCCAATTATGCAAAAAGATTTTAGGCTTCCCTCTTCTGCTCTGTCTTCAGGATCAAGATGCAGGGCACCCTGTTGACTTCCTGATTCATCATCCGTGAACTCATTGCTCCTTTATAAACCTCTAGGTCAACACACACACAAAAACCCTTCAGTTAGGAGTTGACCTGTTTTACAAAAAGGAACATGCCAACAACTTCCCAGAACAAAAATTGAGCAGAATTCCTTCTTTCAACAAATATTTAAGGCCTGTTTCACATGTGCTAAGTCCAACCTTGGAACTTGGGATTCTTCAGTGACTAGAATTTCTTGTGTACCTGTTCCCAAATGAACTGAATCTTCTAAGTTTTTTTTTTCTTGGAGTCAGTTTAATATATAAATCATTTAAGTGGCAAGGAGGACTGGAGCCTTATGGTTATGGGGGTAGGCCTAGGAGTTGTTTGTAGCATTACAAGGGCATTTGTGGTAACTCTCACTGAGAAAGCTTTGAGAACATCCCAAAGCGATGAACAAAGTAGTCATGAGAACAGCCAGAGAAAGAACATTCTAGAAAAGCCAGTGAAAAGTTTTAAGGAGAGAAACATGGTTGCACATCTCAAGAGCATGGTGTCATGAGTGGAGAGAAGCCACCAGAGAGGAGAGAATAGAACACAACTTTTCAGAGCTCTGGGTGGGGGAGCACACCCATGGGGCTTTGAGGACTATGAGACATTTTGGTTTTAGATGGGCATGTTGGTGGATAAGCATTGATACAGCATTTGAAAGATGGAGGCAGGAAGGCCAGGTGGTCTGGGCCAGCCTCAGCTACAAGAGTGCTCAAAGACATCCAGAGAGAACTGAGACCCTGTCTCAAGAAAAGGAGTGGAATGAAGAACAGGAATGATAATGAATGATGTTCTTTCAAACCAGAAAACCTCTACGAACCTGTCTTAAAAGTTGCTTGAAAGGGAAATTTATTAAGTCGCATGACTGATAGAAAAGGCTATTAAAAATCAACATGGTTACCTATACATTGGAACTGGTGAAGTTCTCTTTCCCAGCAAAAATAATTCAAATTAGATTGGTTCAGTTTGGGTCACAAGTCTCTCCAAATCAATCATTGAAGCCTGATAGGTAAATTCCTGTGATTGGCCAGCTTGGGTTCTATGTCCGTCTGTCATCTTCTGGCAGGTGTAGGATTGGAAGACCTATAACCAGAAAAGCCAAACAAGGCATTTTCTACTAGGCTAAAGATTTTGGCAGAGGCAAAAATAAAGCTCAGCAGGCACTGTCAGTGACAAAGAACATGGAAGCCCACATGGAGGGAACGAGGTTTGCTTCCCAGAGAGATAGAAAGGACTATGTGTCGGAAAATATCACAATCGCAATTATGAACTGAAAGACAAGTAGAAACATTTGTGTGGGACACATGACAATGAAGATAAAACTCTCTCTATATAAAGAGCCAGCTCATAAATATCAATAGAAAAGCAAAATTCTAGTGATAAATGACCAAAGAACAGAGCAGATTAATTCCCCAATCAGAAAATACAAGCAGCTGACAGAAATCTGTCCACCCTCATTTAGTAAATGAAAGAGGATAGTTAAAATAATAATGAGAAACAGTTTCTCATGCTGACATGTTCAAGCGTCCATGTTTATAGTGCCCTCAAGGTCAACGAGGGCCACACAAAGTGGAAATTCTCATTTTATAATTGCTAGAAGTATGACTCTGTAACGTAATTTGGTGATTAGGGACAAATATTCATTAACCCCGGGGCCTTTCTTGAAAGTGTGGCTTGGTGTAAACAGAAACTGTGGTTAAAAAAGAATGTTGGTAGTTTTATTTAAAGGAAGTAAGACCCAAGTAAGTTGAATGTCATACAGCAAGGAAGTGGTACAATAAACTTCAGCCATTACTATGGAGTATTTTAAATGACTTAACTTAATAATTGATGAGAGAATGTTTGTGATACACCCACTTCAAGAAGCAATGGACATTCATGACACAAATTATGATTCATATAATATTGAAAATAAAACAAAATGAAAGTAGATCAAAGCTATTACCTGAAGTTGCTTACAGGATTTTGTCAATTCACTCTCATTATTTTGATTGATTGGTATATAGAGAAAGAGACAACAATAAAGGGCCCTTTCAGTAGCTGCTTCTTTTATGTATTGATTTTTTTGTATGCATTTCCCCTGTCCCCCATTGTACTGTTGGTAAATTAAAAATAAATTCAATACTGGCTAAGTAGCTCTTCCATAAAATTTTTCTGTACTTAAAAAAACATTTCTATTGGTACTTTTTTAAAGTCATTCAGGATAGGTGCCGAAGACTTACCCATTTTTTATGAAATTTCAAACAAGAGAAAGACTTAACATCCTGATTCCGTACTCATTTTTTCTGTTGCTAAAAAATCTTAATTTGAACGCTTTCTCAAATTTTTGTAACTATAAAAATATTATAATGCAAAGTTAAATAATTTAAAAATTCCTTAATTATAGTTTTAGCTACTATAGCTTTAATATTTATATTTTTGGTTAAGTATTAGTTTTATTGCATAGTATTTAGAAAATGAGCCTTTTATTTATGAGGTACAGAAACAATTACGAAACAAAGAATAACTTCACTCAATAATAGAGTTTACGCTTTGAATCTGGATAACTGAATGTCTATTCAAAATGAATATTCAACACTGAAACAGACAAATTCATTTAACAAAAAAAATTAATTCCTTTCTGCAGTCCCCTCTCGCTATAGTTTGGCTGAAAAATGGGCCCCCCTAGCCTCATGTATGAACACTAACAGCATCATCAGAGAAGCATGAATGGCAGGCAGAGTCTTGAATAGTTGGGTATAAATGAAGCATTGTACCCAGCATGGTGTGAATCGAGTCTAACGATCATCATTGTCACTGTGAGCCACGTGTTGAAGGCAGCACAACAGGGGACTGTGCTGCCTGCTTTTCATTTCTTCTTCAAACCTTATTTACGACTAGAAGCATGCTGCTCTAGGGTGGCAGCCTGGATGTCCTTAGGCCAGTTCATCTCTGGCATTTTGTAAAAGGGCTCGCTTGGTTGCCGACAAGAATCACAACTGGACAGCAGGTAGCACTTGTTCTGAAAGAGATGGAGTGACTCGCTTTTTGGTGCAATGCTTATGGATGTCCCCTTTGGAGAGGGCATTGGGTTTTCTCACGGTGATTTTTGGTTGGTGTTTTGCACTTTGAGTCATTTCTGTAATTATAGCAATCACGACTCTCTCAGCAGTGGACTGAGTGTATGGCTGCCAGGATCACACAGCCAGGCAGTAACAAGATCACAGGAGTACTTGAGGGACTTCCAGTAATGGAGGATGTACCCCATGGCTGGACTCACTGCCCTTTTCTCATCAACCTATGTGAGTAAGTTAATGACTTATCTAGCATAAAGAAAAAAATGTTGTGGGTATGTGTATCTACTTCTCTGTAGTTTGCAAAACATGGACAAAACTTCAGTTAGTCTCAGGAAGGCAGAAAATCATCGAGTCAAAGTGAATTTACAGAAGCAACTTTAAATACGCTTACTTAGAACCAAATAGTATTAAATCAGCGCAGGATTTTTGCTTGTGGCTAAAGAACAAATTTCACAAAACACATGATTCCACATTCTCCTCTCAAAGAAGTTTATTTGCACTCTGCTCTAACAAATATAGTTTGAAGGCAACAGTCATTTAAGTGTCATAGTGTGTGGCACAGATGAGAACAGACAAACAGACTCAGAAGCTGTCCAGCATGTCAAGACTGGCTTAACAAAAGAGGCACGTGTTACCCTATTATTACCAGAAGACGTTTGGTTTTTTTTTTTCCTTGCAAGCAACAGACTACATGTATTCGCATTAAGTAAAAACATATCTTGTTCAAGAAAAGTACTTTTCTCCTGATTTTCCTTTATATCACAAATGTCAGGGTAAGGCAAATCCTTAATGAGTCATATGATAAAAACCCTATTTCCCGAGAAAATATATTGAGCGTATTCTGCTAGCTTTGTTGTTGTTCAAAGCACAGCCGACATGCACCACATACAGAGAAAATGTCTTTGCAAACCAAGTGCGTCAAGCAGAACTGGACTAATTCACAAAGAGGCTTTTCAGAGTTTCATAGAAAGATTTACAATTAGCTGCAGTGGTTAATATGTGACCCGGTGTCATAGACAGGGCTTCGGATGTCTTCTTTGTAAGCTTTTATCAAAGAAGACTTGTCCATCTTCTGAATAGTTACCAGCAAGAGGAAAAGCCCCTTTGTCTAGCCTGCAGCGAGTACCTTTTTAATTAGGACTCTTATGTCGAAGACCTATTTCAAATGTCTGTGTGCAAACATGACTAATAACAGGGCTACTTTCCTCCCATCTTCCCACTGCCCTTCATGTCGTGTGGCCTGACTGAAGTGTGGTCGGAAATGGCCCTCCGGAATTTATGTGTGGAAGAACTGGTCTACTTCCCACATGGACTGCCTTGCACAGCCCGTGCAGTGACAGGGCCAGCAGGCAACGCGTTTTCTTGTTTGTGATGTCTTCAGGCTGGCCCAGAGCTAAAATGTTAATATTTCATTATTGAAGTGTGAATTAACTGCATTATTTATTTTAAAGCGTACAATCATTCAGCCACATAGCAACCAAAAATCTACGGCAAAGCAAAAATGAAAATGTCTAATTCATTAAAAGAAGTCTAGGCAAATGCAGGAGTGGGACTCCCCCCTCTCTGTTTCCTAGATACGAAGAGCACGTTCCTTTTTCTACAGTTTTCATAGAATTCTCTCCTCTAGTTCTTAACCCATGCAATATGAGTGAGTCAAATGGCTGCCATTGCTAATAAAGAGGAAGGTGGGCTGGATCACCTCTGTCCTGGTTGTCCCTCTTTCGCCTTTGTCCATTTAGAAGCCAGCCGTCCACTATAGCCCCCTAAGGGTCCCAGTAGTACTTCCCCTGGGAGTTCCGGGGAAACACCCTCCTAGCTTGGTTCTCTTGTCAGGCATGTCCTAAAAATGATGGGTGCTTTTAAAATAGCTAGAAAGATGGCAAGATATTGAAGCTATCAATATCTGAATGGCATCTTTTCTTCAATTATTTAGAGAAAGTATTGTTCTAGAAAACAGTGTGTAATGGAGAGGTATGCGCATTCATGTCATACTGTAAAGGAGAAAGGTCATGGGGTAGCCTCATGAAATTGCCGAAATAGCCTCATTGCTATGATGAATTGCTTTAATGAAAATTAGAGTTGTTAAAAGGTAACATATGTAGATGTATGATTTGCTACTTATTCTATTATACAAAATATGTTGTCTGGAAGAGGCAATTAATTCAGAACAGGCAAAACTGGTCATAGGAAGATAAGGTGAGTTTTCCACAGGAAAGGACAAAACTAGAGATCTGGATGAGAAATTTATAAAGTGGTATCATGTCACTATAGACTTTAGATTTTGTTGGTTCCCACTTCCCATTCCCCTTCTGTTAAGAATAGCATCATAAACATCCCAAGTCTAAAGCATTGTAGGGTTCAGATGATGTGCAAAAGATACTACCATGTCTTTGGAACCCAGGGAGGTAGCGGGAGAACTTCCGTATGTTCTGGGACAGAGAGTCGGCACGATGCCCAGCCTCCTCTGGTCTTCATTGCTTGAGCTAACTCTATTCCACTGGCTTCTTAAGTTGTTAATAGTTTTAACTACCTTTTGGATGAGTGGATGATCCACCAAATCATCCTTGGACTTGGCATAAGCAGACAGATAAGCCAGGACTGGAAGCAATGGCTCCAAGGGCTGCTAACTTCAAGTGGGAACCTCTGTGGGCTAACACACCTTGACTCAACATGGATATTCTTTTATGATTTCATGTGGAACTTTGGAAACTGAAATTATTATTTAACAGGCTTGTTTGGGTTGTAAATGAAGCAAGTGCATCTATTAAATCTTAATGATAGTAATACCCTTTCCCATGGCGTAGGAAGAGGCACATCTCAGTGATGGACCCTAAATGGAAGCACGCCATGAAGACCTCATAAACCAAAGAAGCTGTGCTCAAAATCAGCCTCAAAAGGGAATGCACAAGACATCCAGGATGTGGAGGTGGAGACCCCCCCCCCGTGGCTGCCAGGTCCACCTTCTTCAGTAAATCCTGATTAAAATATTCTGAACTCCTCATTCAGACCTCTTCAAGGTGTTCTCTGAGGCTTGTGTCCATTTTCTATCCTTCCTCCTCTGTCTGTGGATTTTACCAGTTTGGGGCCTGGTGATTCTTGAAATTTAGCCTGAAGCTCATCAATCTCCTTCCTTCTTTTTTTCCCCGCTTGGGAGAAATCACTCTATGACCAGCTTTGTGAGGTAACCAAGAAAACAGACAGGGACCAGGAGACACGGGTGAGTCTTAACCCTATCACCAATCCTAGGGTGAGGCATGGAGAAAAGACTGAAATGAAAGGGACAAAGTGCCTGAAAGTTTGCCTTAGCTTGGGGCCTCACGAGTGGAGCGAGCTTGCTGTCTTATTCCTTTTCCTTTCTTTCTTTCTTTTTTAATTCTTTTCTGTTTGCTTTACTGTAGGTAAACAAAACAAAATGCAGCTGGAGAGTTAGAGCAAAGGACCCTTCCTTCTTCGGACTCGCCTTCCCCCCTCCCCCACCCTCTTCCACAGCACACACTATCATCTTCCCAAGTCCCCCAGGGCCAGGCCTTGCGATGCTGAGGGTTGTCATTTCGCTTCAATTCTTTGTTCCTTTGCTTCATCTTGCGGCCCTGAGGAAGACAAAGAGAAACAGTTTGTTAGATTAAAGATTAGGCATTTTTACAAGGCTTAGCAAGGAATAGTTTTTTTTTTTTTTTTAATGCAGCCCATGAAATAAATGCCCATCCTCAGCCAGGCCTAGGAAGAGCTTATTTGACTATCAAAGGGCTTTACCTATCTGCACTGTAATTGCTAGCACCTGGTATCTTTAGCGATCTTATAAATCGCCGCTGATAAATGTAGGCCACATGACACATTGCTTCAGCTGGTGGGGACGATTAACTCAAGTGTTCAAAGAATTCTTTGAACAGTCTATCTTTGATGTGTCCATCCTTCCTCGACTATTCCCACAGTCTAGATTCTAGGGACCAGAATGCAAATAAAGACTTATATGATGTTGCTTTGCATTGATGAGACCTTTCTTGCTGCATATCTGCTGTCCTCCACCCAGAGACAACTTCAATAGACCCTTTCCCAGAAGAGTCTATGCTCATTTTAGTTGGACTTTTAAAACTGAGGTTCGTTCACCTCCAGGGAAATGCACGAATCAGATGTACTCAGCTGATTCTAGGTTCAGATTCATATTTAGTCTGTGACACTATCAGGATCTGAAAAATCCTCATGATTCTAGAAATATCCCGTTGTCAAGGCCAATCCTGCTGGAACCAACAGTTGTTGGTTCTAGAACTTTCTACACATGAGATCTCTACAAACAGGATCACAGGAGCGTCTTTCACTCAGCACAGTGTTTCTGCGAGTTATACTGCTGCTTCTTAAGTTTATTTTGTTCTTTTCCGATGATGACTGTCAATACCCTGCGTAGAGAAATCACGTTTTCACCCATTCCATTGTGAGATATTTAGACTGTGCCAAGAACATAGCATCCATATGAATGGGGTTCAGTATTAAAATCATATTCATGCACACAGTGTGCATTTTCCCAGCCACCCCCCCCCATCTCTACCCCATGCCCAAGCTAGACTTTTCTCAATCCCTAGCTACCTCTATCCCCATTTCATGTTGATATTTTGGTTCAGTGGCTTATTTCATTTAACATAATGTACTATGTTCCATTCATTTTGCTGCAAAGGGCGGGTTTAAATTCCATTATGACTTTTGTTTTTTTGTTCATGGACACTTAGCACAATTCCCTATCTTAGGTACTATGAATAATGTAGCAATAAACATGCGTATGTGGATATGCCATGCCGAGCAATACTAAGGGTTAGGATGACTCTATCTTTTCTCCCTATTTTTTATATTGAAAATAGATTTTTTTCAGACATATACTCTGATTACAGTATCTCTTTCTCCAGTTCCCATGAGCTACATCTTATCGCAATTCTATTTTTGTTTTTCTGAGGAAACTTCATGTTGTTTTCCACAGGAAATAAACTGATTTACATTACCACCAACATTGGGTAAGTGGTGTTTTTTTCATGTAGTAGTTGGCTATTGGTATATTGGTATTTCTTTTGAGAGATGTCTATTTGGGTCATTTTTTTATTAAATAGAAGATTTGCTTTTAAGTCTTTTGGTTTCTACTCTGGATATTCTTCTTTTTAGATATATAGCTGACAAATGCCCCCCCCACTGTCAATGTCTCTCCATTATGTTGATTGTCTGTGGCATAGACGCTTCGCTGTTGGATGTGATCCTGTTTACAAAGTGCTCCTGTTGCTCTTGTGCTATTGGAATCCTATCCAGAAAAACATTGCCCAGACTAGTGACATAAAGTGTTTTGCTCAAATAGTTTTGGATGCTACATTTATGTCTTTGATCCCTCTTTTAGTTGATTTTTGTACAGGGTGAAAAAAAAAATGGACAAATTTCAATCACCTGCAGGTGGATTCTGACTTTGCAAACACTGCCATACCTCCGACCTGGATTTTTTTTTTTTCACCTCTGGATTACTGGATTGTTGTTGTTTTCTGTTCTCATATGGTTAGGTTTTCGTTGCTGTTGTTCCAGCTTTGTGAAGAAACTCTTAGGTTTTTCTGGTAGTTGCTTTTCTCATTGCTGGGACTAAATGCTGAGCTAGGAGCAATGCAAAGGAGGAAGAAATTTTTCTATGCAGCAGTTTAAGAAAGGACACAGCCAATCATGGTGGAGAAGGGAAGGGAAGCTGGCAGGAATGTGAGGGGACGCCTGCCCACAGTCGGGAAGTAGAAGGAAGACTGGAAAAATGAAACTTCCAATGAGTATCCACAGGGTAGTTCCAAAGTAGTGTACCAAAAAAGGACCGAGTATACAAACATTAAGCCTGTAAGGGACATTTCACATTCAGTCCATAGAATGTGTAATGACAGAAATTGCACTGAGCCTATAAGTCATGTTTTTGGTAATATAAACAGTTTAACAATGTGAATTCCTCTAAATCCCTGCACCTTCTCTTTGCATTTGTGCATCCGTGTCCTACAGTCTTCACTAGCAAAATCTTTCTCTTCTTTGGTCAAATTGATTTCTAACAGTTTCTTTTTGCAGTCAGTTTGAAGAGTTGAGTTCCTGACTTCCTTTTCTCACAAAATCATCATTGGTATACAGAAATGAAACTACGTTTATAGGATAGGATCTGTGTATTACTACTTTACTAAATTTATCCGTCTTCTCTATGTAGGATCATAGCATCTTCAAACAAAATACTATTCTTTTTCTTTTTCCATTTTTATGTCTTTATTGTTTCTTTAAAAACTTCTAGTACGCATAGTTAGTACAGAGTGATGATGAACGCTTGTCCTCTTAGTGGTTGACTGTGGCAAGTGAAAGGTCCACCACGGGGTTAAGGTCCTTGACTACCTGGTTTCTGAAACTAGTTTGGGGTGTTGTGAAACCATTGCCAGTCAGGCTTATCTGGAAGACGCAGGTTGTTTGGAAGCAGGTCACCGAAATTTGTACTCATTTCCAATTCTGGTCCATTACCGTGCTTCCTGATGCTCCCGGTTATGAGAAGGTCATTTTATAAGCACATATCATCAGCAGAAACTTGGCTGCCCCAGCCTAATACTGTTTCCTTTACATTGTTTCTAACAGGCATTTTGTCCCAGCTGTTGAAAAGTGGTGTTATACTGGGCTTAGATAATATGCTTCATTTTTTCCTGGTTTGGTATAATGCTGACTATGTCTGTTTTCTGAAGGTGTAATATTTGTCATGGGAGCAGAGGATGCATGAAGTTTTGCTAAAACATATACAATTTAATATATTGAAGTGATTATATGATTTTTATCTTCCAGACTATTCAATATCATTACATTTATTGATTTGCATGAATCAAACCATCCTTGCATTCCTGGGATAAAATTAAATTTGATAATGTTGAATAGTCATTTTTTTATGCTAAATTCATTGGGCTTTTTACCTCCTTCATCTAAGTATAATAGTTTTGGAAGAACTGGCTTCAGTTTTTTAAAGATTTTTATGGACACACAGTCACTGTGAGCATGACCTTGAAGGTTTGGTTAGAACTTAAATAATCTGTTCCCTGCCTTGATGCACCTGCCATTGCTCAAGCATGAGTCCAAATGAACTTTTCTACCTTATACATTGATTTTGGTCAGATTAATTTAAAACACAAGGTTATAACATTTTTATGCCAATTAACCCTCTATAGGAGTTCCAGTTAATCCACACTTTTTTTGTATCAGATGAGTATATGAACTTTGTAAAGGAGATATTTCAATATTAATGTATATCAAACTAAGTCTGATGGTGCTCAGTGGGTAACAGCTATGTACAACCCCTAACCCCAATAGTAGTGTACATTAGCATATGTTTGGTGTAATTAATAATTAATTTCTATAGAGAGTAAATAAACTATTGCAGGGATGTATAAGAACAGAGTCTAATCTATGATTCTGCTAAAAGAAGAAAAATGTGACATCACAAAGTGCAGAAGGCTGTGAAGATGTGGGGAATGAACTTGAAACAAAAGTTAGAATCAGTATCCATGGTAGATTGTAGCTATCCCGAAGGATATTTAAAGCTATGTGTGCCCAAGTATCACATACAAAGCAGTGTGGTGTGTGCATAAAAGTTATGCACATCCTTCTATGTAACTTAAATTACCTCTTGATTATCAAAACCCTTTGTATAATGTAATGTTTTGTAATTGCCATCCTGCATTATTTAAGGATAACAAGGAAAGTCTCTACATGCTTTCTACATATACAATTTTTTTAAACAAATGTTTTAAATTCATGGTTTTCTTGAAGCAGTCAATATAGGTACAACATACATGGGCAACCAAAGGAGTTATCTAGTATGCATCAAATATAGATGGGATAAAGTTCAGAAAACCAGTGAAGTGAACTCAGACAAACTAACAAGCTTGTACAGGTCTCAGTTCCCTCATCACTTTAAAGAGAAGTCGGCGTAGACGATGCCTGGATTGGTTAGTTAGTTAATTTAGATGGTTTGTTTTAGTGGCCGATGAGTCATTTTAAAGGATAGTATTTGGGATCTGTATGAGCACAGACTACCACCATCATGCTTGCCAGGAGCAGTGCTTGAGCTGTTTAAAGCAGATGAGAAAGAAATGGTGGCAACTATGTTCACAGATTCAACTGCTGCGTGCTCATCGTTGAAGAGTTTTGAGTTGGAAGTACTCAAACTTCCAGGCATCCTTGTGGTTAAGAAAAATGCATCTATACTAGCACTGTATCTGGATATTGATTACACAGAAAATTAATAGAAAAAAATCCAAAAGTTGTAGTTTTTGGCAGCTAAAGAATAAAAGGCCAGGAAACACTGAGGAAGAGTGTAAACTGTTTAAATTTGGTCTCAGTTCATTACTTTCAGTGGAAACTTCACAGCTATTAATTCCTATGACTTCACAGGATATTTGATATACATGAATAAGTTAAAACGTTTATGAGCTCCTTTTTATATGAAAGTGTATTTTAAAAAACCATTTCATGTTATACAAATGGCATTAGATTTATGGTCCCATGAAGTTCACGATTGTTATGAAAAGGAGAGATATGTTCTCTCCTACAGTCTGAGCCTTCATTCCACTGTGATGTTGGAGCACACATATGGTGCAAGGTGGCCTTGTGGCAGGGTGAAGAGATCAAGAGGACCCAGGGAGTGAAGAGGGCAACCAAGGCCCTATCTGTGCTCTACACTCATTCGCAATTCATTCTTCTATGGTGTTATTAAACATTCAGTTGATAGTAAGGCTACCTTCTTTATTTCAGCTTTTTCTGTCTTTTCCACAGCCCTCTCCAGGGCTGGAAAAGCCTGATAGATTGTTTATCACTCTAGATATGATGTAGACTGTGTGGTCTGGCTACCACTTTTATTTTTCTGGGTGTTGCCTCGGGTTCATTGAACTCCAGCTTTGTCTGTCTATACAGACGTGTATGTCCTCAGGAGTTAGCACGCTTTCCCAGGCACCCGCTATTCTGTCAATATGTATTTATATGTCGTTATACATTCTCTTGGGTAAAAATTTAGTGTTATGCTTAAAAAACAGATATAGCAAACAACACAGTATGATGCTTGTGGAAAAGGGATGCTCCTGGAATCAGCTCAAGTCACTGAAGTAATTTGATCACTCTAGAAGGCAAACGGTAAGACTAATGGGAAAACGTTATTCTTTCTGCCAAAGTGAGGAAATCGAAGGTGTTCCATGATTTAAATATACTGCAGCGTATCCTTTTTAGTTTATTAGTTTGTTTTACTAAGGATGGCAAGTTTCTAAAGGTAATCTTTCTTCTTTCGTCTGTATTGTTTTTAAAGATCTCCAAAGTTTAGTTCAAACTACACTCCAGGCCTTGACAAAGCAAAGAGAAATACAACACGCCCTTTGCAAACTATTCCTTATGGCTGGCTCATGAACTGAAAAATCCTTCCATGGGGGCAACTTACCTATTGGAAATCTTCTTGCTGACACTCTGTTGGCTCATTTATGTTGTCATCCTGGCTGTTCATTTCAACTGTAAGCAGAAAAAAGGTTCAATAATTATCAAACCTAAACTCTTAAACGCACGAAAATGGCCACTATGGTTTGAAATCGTTCCCATTTCCTGTCTATGCCTTTTCTGTTCTCATTTATTCATGACAGCGGGGCCCAGTAGGTTAGAATTCACTCTCCTCTCAGCTGAGCTGTCATTCCATGCAAGATTTGTGGTTTGGCAGTCTGCGCGTATTTATTACCATCCTTAAACAAATAAATTCAAAGGCCTTAATACACATCTAAGGAAAATAAAGAGAAAACAACGAAAAGCAGACCATTGACATGCAGAGAGGTGCACTGCTCCCTCCATAGTGGCGATGTCAACAGACCTGTTTAGTTCGCTGTGTTTTCAATTTCAGAATTCAAAACAGCTTCTGCAAATTGCCAATGGGTATAGCAGCCAATAGATGCCAGGAGATAGAAAAGCCACACATGTGCCTTTTGCTTGATTGTATTCATTCTATGTGAACATTTGCATAAAAATAGAATGTATAATTACTGCCTTTCTCCAGAAGTGGCCCAAAGCAGTCACTCTGGAAATTTCCAAGGGTCAGCAAGTTTAATGAGATTTTCACTATCCAAAGCCCATATTGTAAGCTAAGAAAATAAATATAGAAATGGACAGTGGGGGACTGGAATATAGCTCAGTTGGTAGAACGCTTGCCTTGATGCTTCAGTCATGAGTAGATTTCCTAGCAACACACACGCGAAGCAGACAATGACAGATAATTACAACAGTAAAACTCCGATTTCAAATCCCTGGCCAGCAAACATAACCTCTAGCAAAACGTCCAGGACCAGTGCTGGTGGTCATCAGTTTCCATTGTTTCTAATTTGTAAGAAACTAAGAAAAGACATCCGACTCCTAGTTAGTTTTCCTATGTCAACCGCCTCCAAATACGGGATGTTTAACTACACATATCCTGCTTACCTGCCAAGCACAGACAGCACTCACCAACAGCGTCCCTGTAGTAACCTCTAGTTATTTTTTTTTTTGCGAAGTTTTCACTTGTTTGCACAAAACTGACACTCTAAGTTCCTTCTTTTTCTTTTAGAACATGAACGAGTAAAAGAATGGAATAATGGTGGATGCTGGTCCCATATTACACAGATGCTTGGACGAGAAATGCCCTTAGATGACCTTCCAAGATCTCTCCCAGAATTACAGGCTTAAAACACTGGTCTCTCATCCCTTACCTGAGACCCGCACCATTTTCCTAATTATTTGCGATCTCGTTTCAAATTCCACCTGTGAACTCACCAGATGAAACAGTTCTCTCAGCCAAAGAAGCCTTCGTGCCCTGTTCAATCTGGCACACAGGCTTCCCTCTCAGAGTGGAGGTGTACAGGGTTAAGCACGGAGAAACACTCCTTTTCCGTCCCTGCCTCTAGTCAAAAGACACTAAGGCCTACAGCCTATTAATACATCTTCTATAAAAAGTATTCCATGATAAAATAACTCTGTGGAAAAGTAATGTTAAATCATATTAAAGAAGTTCTTGCTGAGTCTACAGGTCTCCACTGTATCTGGGGTGAAAACTCAGCATTTTACACACCGGTGTCTTGTTCTTCATGGAGCAGCTGGCTGGACATCCTCAGAGCTTACTTTGGGAAGAAGTAGTAAGGAAACATGTCCATGGTTTTGGAGGTGGGTTGGAGCATCTTCTGGGTAAGTAATGCTCATGGGTTAAGGTTAATAATAATAATAAGTTAATGCTTAGAGTTAAGGGGAGCAGTTCAGGTGATGGCCAACCTATGGGACGGAGAAAAGCCTGCTCTCTCCTGTACACAGCCTTGTTCCTTCCCCTGATGGCTGATTTATTTCTGAAGTGATTATCGACTCAAGGTAATTTACTTTTCCTTTTTACTCCGTCAAAGGTGGAGAAATGTGGAGCTGACCGGCTCAACAACTAGCTTCACAGGAACAGCAGATCGGCTGGAAGACCATGGCGCCCGCTTTAACAGAAGGAGTTTGTTTGGAGACTCTAGCAGGGGAGTGTAGTCTACCCTCGAAGGAAAACTGTTCTTCCCCATGAGGAAGCAAATAGCTCAGGAAGGATGTTCATGGTGCTGTGAGGGAAGAAGGGGGCAGCTGCCTAGCTATCAAGATCTGCCAAATCATCAGTGACAATAAATGGGGTGACGGATGTCACTCTCAGAAATGGGGTGACAGATGTCACTCTCATGGTCTAGTGTAACAATCGAAAAGGCACACTGAAGCACGCAGGTGGTAAAGACTTACTTGTGCCCTCCTTCCCTTCACTCCAAAGAGCCCTGCATGGGGAGGTGTTTCTTGCTTATGAGAGGGATGTATAATTAAGGCCAAACCTTAAATGTGAAACAGAACAAAGCTAGCTACAGTGAAATCTGGTGCTGGAGAAAGCCCTGTGCCCCCGCCCTGTCTCATGGCACCAGGTAGGCTCAGGGCCTGAATCACTACAACTACATTAGACTTGGTAGCTAACTACCTCTACAATGCCTCCTTAAATCTATGGTGGCAGAGTGGAGAACAGACCTTCCCCTTCTGGGAAGCCAGGTATGAAAGCAAGCGAGCATCAGAATTTGTCTGGATCCTGTTATCACTCCTGTTGTACTCTGGCCCAGGACCTGGGAGAAAGGGAAGATCTTGTGTTTGTGCCACGGCTCAAAGCCTCTAGATTAGCTCTAACAACAGGCAGAGACCTGTGGGTTCCAAGAATAGATTCCACTTTGGGTCTGCATTGGGTTCAGCTTTGGCAGTCTATAGCAGAGATGCTCCGTTCCTGTGACTATGAAAATCTCTCTGTATGTGACCCAGCTTGGGGCCAGTCTTACTAGCCAAGGGACTGTCTCTACCATTTATCTCATATCTCAGGTAATACAGCTCTAACAAGCCAGTCAACAGAGTTCCAGCCTTGTCCTGGCACCGGGAATAGACTGTGCCTTGTGTTTTGGCTCACACCAGTACCAACTAAAATGTGGTTCTTTGATGTATGTGACCATGCAGGTCCTTGCTACCATGAGACTTAAGCACATCTCGGCTTAGTGTTAGCGAGGACTGCTTTGCTCAGCACTAACTCAACCTAGAATGCTATAAGGTCATATCACTGAGGGTAGGGCCGGGTAGTAAGTGATAGGTTTTAGCAGCTCAGGGCCAAGTTCCAGGATATAATCTAAAGCTGAGGAAAAGTTAGTATCTCTCATTCCCAGGTTTGGCTACTAAGAGTTCTGGAAGATCTCCAATGCAAAGCAAAGATACGGGGTACTGGACTTCTAAAGTATCTAGCATAGCCTAGGCTGATTGCAGCAATCTGTTGCCACAATTCTACTTTACCAATAGGAACTCACTTCTTTTCCCATTTTAAAAAGCAGCATTTTATGTAGTTCAGCATGGATTAAGTGTATTGTGTAGCTGAGCATGACCTTGAACTTCTGACTCTTCATGCCTCTACTTCCAAAGAGCTGAGATTACAGGTGTGTGTCACCGTACTTGACCATTCCTGGTTAGTATGTATTTTCCCTGCTGTTTCCATTCATTATATTATATTATATTATATATTCAAAAAATTTTGTAAGAGTTGTGTCAAGTGTGATGAAAATAATGATCTTTGCTTTATAAGATGAAGAATGGAAGAAAGGAAGTACAGGAAAGCTAGGAAATGATTTATATAGTGGCTGAAGTAAGACCTTACCTTGAATGTAAATGAACCAATTTTCCAAGTAAATGTCACAGTTACTGATTGGGATAAAACACATGACCAAATTACATAGTGCTCTGAAGAAACTTAACTCACCACTCAAGGTATGTATAGATTGAGAACAAAGAGATGGAGGAAAATACTCTATGCTCAGGGGATTCAAGAGGAAGCACGAATAGCTATCATACAGCAGATAAAAAGACTTAGTAATAGTGAAAAGAGGTAAGGCAGGTTGTTTTATAATGACAAAGGGGTCAATTCTGCAAGGGAACAAATTTTAAATATATAGAGCTGATCTTAGTAGCACGAAGTGAATAGCTAGCCTCTTAACAGCTGGGGGCTTTTATGTTGCATTTGCAGCGGTGGTAAGATCATGTCGACAGAAAATCCCAAGCAGACAAAAGGATTGAATTGTACCCGGGACCCAAGGCTGCAGCAGTCATTCCCAGGATGCTCCATTTCCTAAAGGCACATCTTTCTGACACATGCATAGAACATTCTTCAGGACAGATAATATGATAGAACATACAACAAAGCCCATTACATTTGATTAACTGTAAATTATACTGCTTAGCATTTAACAAAACAAAAAAATCAATAGCAAGGAAACCTTTAAAAATCCATGTAAAATGTCCTTGAATAATCAGTGGATGCAGGAATCAAATTGGTCCCTGGGACCTATTGACACAAGACCCATGTGATGTCCTGTGAGAGCTGCTAGGCCAGTGCTGCCGTCCAACTTCTTGCTCAGCTGGTTCCATCTGGGTCTCTTGTCAGTCAGCATACACCGCTAGCTTCCTTTCACTTCATGCCAGCCCTCTCTCACCACTACAGTGCTCTCCAAGGTTCACAGCTGGCACGGTGAGCACTCAGGACTTAAGTGTGAGAAGAAGGGAGCTCTCAGCTCAGAGCTGGGCCTGAAGGGATTCAATTTATGTGGCATACTATGGAAGTAACCTGACTTGAACAGTAGGCCCCACCCTCCTGCCTCTCTCTGAGTGGTAGAGAAGGAGGGACAAAGGGATGCTGCCCAGCGGTGGGTGTGGGAGACTTCAAGGTACCTCCACACATGGTCCCTTTGTTTCCTCACTGGCCTGAGCAAGTCATATCCACAGGCCATGGGCTCAAGGACTCAGTCCTACTCAGGGAGGGAGCTATACACGTCTGAGTGACTATAATTCTCTGACCCTTGCCCTCCAGCACCTTCCCTCTGTCCTTTCTTGCCGTAACCTCACTTCTTTTACTCAGGCTTCAGTTTCTTTCCAGTACAATTTTGTTTGTTGTTGTGTAATATAATATAACATATAAGTATTGATCATAATAATCCAACTGCCAAGCTTCTTAAGATGTGAAATAAGAGTCCCATACTCTCTCCACTTTTATTTGACAGAGTTCTGTAAATTATAGCCAGAGAACTTGGGCTAAAAGTAAAACTAAAGGGCCCCCAAAGTGAAAAGTTGTCCAGTTGTCCATGTTTACCAATGATTTGATTTTACTTGTAGGAAATGTCAAAAACCCCTCTCTAGTAGAAATGCTAATTAAATTTAGCAAAGGTGCAATAACATATATGTAGCACCGCTTATGCCCATAGTGACCTGTTTTAAATAGAAATAAATAAATCAATCCCATACCTTGGAGGAAACTTAACTATAAAACATTGATGAAGGAAACAAAAGGGAACACAAAAAAAGTAGAAAATGTTTGTACTACCCCAACTTAATCCATATAAAAATTCTAACAATGTTGTTCACACAGTGAGAAATAATTTAATGGTTGCTATACAAATCTCCTATAGCCAAAATGGTCCTGATCAAGAAGAAGAAAGGAAGGGGTGATAAATATACTTCAAAACTGGAATGACCAAACCACCAAGGTTTGGGCTTAAACAGACATGTGAGTTATTAGATAGTCTAGTTGGTATTATGGGCGACAAAGGACAGCTCTTTTTACTAAGTGGTGTGCATGTATTGGGTATCCTCATGCAGAAGAGTAAAACTAGACTCCTCTTTTTCATTGATTATAAAAATCAACTAAAAGTAGATTAAAGACTCATAGAAGACATGAAACCATGGAAGGAAAACAGGGAAACACTACAGGATGTTGGCAAGGTCAAGAATCTTTGGCGCAGACCTCAAAAAGTACAGGAAACAAAAGCTAAAGTAGACAAATGGAATTTCATCAAATTAAAATGCTCTTGTGCAGCAAAAGAAATAATTGTTGGACTGAAGTTCATTATATTCAATGGGAGAGAATCCCAGTAAGCTACACCACTGAAAAAGGGTTGAAAGCCAGAAGAGAAGGAATGACATAAATGTATTAGCAAGGGAGCATGTGACCTACTTTGTACATAAGCAACAAATCTAAGCAGACATTTCTCAAAAATGGCCAACAGGATTATTGAAGTAAAGATTAAAAAAATGCACAAATACATCACTTCCTTGCAGTAGAAATTATGGTTATCAAAAACAATGAAAATAATAAAGATTGACAAAAGTTTGGGGAAGGCTTGCAGACTGTTAGTGTGAATTTAAAATAGTATAGTCATTATAGAAAACAATAAGAAAGTTCCATAAAGACAGAGAGAGAAAAAAAACTACCATATGATCTGGCAATCCAACTACTGAGTATATACCTGAAGGAAACAAAATCAGTACATTGCAAAGAAGCAACACAACATCCAAAAAATAGAAATGAATGTTTATGAAATTCTAATTGGATAAAGAAAGTGTGGCATAGCTGGTGGAGTACTAGTTATACTCATTGTCATTATAAGAATGAATCCTGCCATTTGTGACATCTGTGGAACTCGAGATTATATTAAAAGGAGTAGGCCAGATACAGAGAGACAAGTAATTAGTCATCTATCAGAAACTGAGTAGAAGATGGTGATGACCAGAGACCAGGCACACGGGGAGGGGCTCAGTGATAGTTGCTGAGTTACAGTGAAGTAAGAGTGAGAAATTGTGGTCCAGGATTCTATAAGAGGGTGTCTGCGGATGAGAACAGAAGAATTGCTTTGCAAAGAGCTAAAACAAGCGTGAGGTTTTACCACAAAGAACCGAGTAATACTGGAGATAAATATTCTTAACCTGACTTAGACATTAGATGATTTGTCTATAGATCATAGTGTAGACCATTAACAAGTATAACTTTATCATTTTAGGTATCACCAAAAATTAGTAAATATGTATCACTTTGCATAGTTGATATCCTGTGGATTCTAGTTTTCTTGACTCTGAGATCAGCTGCTGCTGAAGGGTTAAGGGATCTTCTCTGAGACTTTTCTCCCTTTCCAGACCCAAGGCAACCAGACTCACTGGCTTCTATTTTATCTAGTAAGCTGTCAAGATCACTGACCCAGCCTTCCGAAATCTACAGAAGCAAGGAAAGTCCCTTGTGCTGTAGGTGGCTGCTGGCTCTTCTAGTCTGGCTTCTCCTGCAGCAAGTACTTGGTATTACTAAAGGATAATTCATCTAAATCCCACTCAGCACACCTCTCTAATCAAACTCAAAAAGACTCTTTATTGTAATATTTAAAACACAAACCCCAGTGACCCAGCAGAATCATGTCTGCAGAAACAGGTATTTTTCTAATGCAAATAATGGCATTTCAGAGTGTTCTCAGCATGGATGTGTAGGAGAGGGGATGTTAATAAGTTCATGATTCTGGAATCTTTATATGAATCTGATTAAAAGGCATCTAAAGTTAAGTGGGTTATGTTTAAGGTGCTCTGAAAGAGTCATTGTGTATTTAGTCAAAGCGTCAGAGGTGAAGCAGTTGAAAGCATGAGAAGAATCTTAGCCCAAGCTCACTGGAGGGTTCCAGAATGCTGGGGTAGCAGGGATAACAGCAGGCCAGGCAGATTTCAGCTTGACCTTGAATGACTCACTGTGTCCTCAATATAATGAGGAATGTTTAAGCCATAAACCACGTGTGTTATCTTAAAACAGAATTTGTTTATATGCACACACACAAGCACACTTTTGGCTTTTGAAATTTACTTTTGTTCTAACCAAATACGTTGATTCCTAGATCTGATAGTCCCCATAATCCTAGATTTACATGTGCACAGAATACCACAGATTCGTAGCTGAGCACCGGTAGCTCTGATTCACTCACCGTCAGGACCTGTAGTGGGTTCTGTGTCACTGGAACCTTGGCTTTTTGCAAACACAGAAGATGCATCTTCGTCTTGAGCTGAAGGAAGGAAAACAGAGAGCCCTGGTTACTAGAGAATCAGCACAGTCCTGCTGCCAATCTGCTCTGGCCATCCACTGTCCTCTTAAAGTGAAAAATCCTCTGGGAATTTAAGTTCTTCTTCAGGGTGGGGTAGAGGAGGCAGTTGTGGTCGAGATGATTGAATACTTCATTGTTGTCTCCTAAGTTCTCTTTAATTTCTGAGATAATCACATACATAAATAGTTTCTCAAATTAGAAATCTAGTAGAATGAAAAGAAAGATATGTTTTAATCAACACAGTGTGTAGTTTAAATTTAGGGAAGGAGGAGGTGTGGGGGGAGATAGATAGATAGATAGATAGATAGATAGATAGATAGATAGATAGA